AGGCAACACAGTGAGACTCTGTCTCAAAAAAAAAAAAAAAAAAACCTCATTAGTACTTATTTCCCATAATCCATTTCAATAAAGTCAATTTTAGAAATAACCATTCACTGGACATCTACTACATGCTAGATGCTAAGGACATCTAAGGTATTCTACTTTCTCTAAGGTACCCACAGTTTAGTGGGAGAGACAGACATATAAAACTACACGCATACCTCGTTTTATTGTGTTGCTTTACTCTGCCTCACAGATAATGTATTTTTGGCAAAATGAAGGGGTGCAGCAACTCTACTATGTCCACCAAGGCTATTGGTGTCATTTTTCCAGCAGCATGTGCTGACTCTGTGTCTCTGTGTGGCATTTTGGTAATTCTTGCAGTATTTCAAACTTTTCATTATTTTCTATCTTTTATGATGATCTGTAATGAGTGATCTTTGAAGTTACTATTGTAATTGTTTTGGGGTGCCATGAATTGTGGCCATATATGACACAGAACTTAATGGATAAATGTTATTTGTATTCTGACTGCTCCAACCGGCCATTCTCTTCTCTCTCTCCCTCTCCTCAGTTCTCCCTAATCCCAGAGACACAACAGCGTTAAAATTAGGCCAATTAATAATCCTACAATGGCCTTAAGTGTTCAAGTAAAAGGAAGAATCACATACCTCTCATTTTCAATCAAAAGCTAGACGTGATTAAGCTTAGTGAGGAAGGTGTACCAAAGCTAAGACAGGTCAAAAACTAGGCCTCTTGCACCAAATAGCCAAGTTGTGAATGCAAAGGAAAAATTCATGAAGGAAATTAAAAGTGCTACTCCAGTGAATACATGAATGATAAATGAAACAGCCTTATTGTTGACATGAAGAAAGTTTGAGTGGTCTGGATAGAAGATCAAACCAGCCACAACATTCTCTCAAGCCAAAGCCTAATCCAGAGAAAGCCCTAAACTCTCTTCAATTCTGTGAAGGATGAGAGAAATGAAGAAGCTATAGAAGAAAAGTTTGAAGCTAGCAGATATTGGTTCGTGAGGTTTGATAAAAGAAGCCAGCTCTATAGAGTGCAAGGTGATGCAGCAAATGCTGACGTAGAAGCTGCAGCAAGTTATCCAGAAGATCTAACTAAGAAAAGGATGAAGTTGGCTATGCTAAAGAACAGATTTCCAATGCAGACAAACAACCTTACACTGGAAGAAGATGCCATCTAGGACTTTCATAGCTAGAGAGAAGTCAATGCCCAGCTTCAAAGGATAGGGCGACTCTTTTGTTAAGGGCTAATCCCGTTGGTGACTTTAAGTGGAAGCCATTATCATCTCATTTACCATTCTAAAAATCCTAGAGCCCTGAAGCATTATGATGAATCTACTCTGCCTGTGCTCTATAAATGGAACAGGAAAGACTGGATGACAGCACATCTGTTTACAGTATGCTTTACCGAATATTTTAAGCCCTCTGTTAAGACCTACTACTCAGAAAAAAAGATTTCTTTCAGAATATTACTGCTCATTAACAATGCACCTGGACACCCAAGAGCTCTGATGGAGAGGTACAAGATTAATGTTATTTTCATGCCTGCTAATTCCACATCCATTCTGCAGCCCACAGATCGAGTAATTTTCACTTTCAAGTTTTATTATTTAAGAAATACATTTCGTAAGGCACTAAATGCCATAGATACTGACTCCTCTGATGGATCTGAGCAAAGTAAATTGAAAACCTTGTGGAAAAGATTCAACATTCTAGATGCCATTAAGAACATCCATGATTCCTGCAAGGAGGTCAAATTATCAACATTAACAGGAGTTTGGAAGAAGTTGATTCCAGCATTCATGGTTGACTTAAAGGAGTTCAAGACTTCAGAGGAAGAAGTAACTACAGATGTGGTAGAAAGCAAAACAACTAGAATCAGAAGTGGATCCTGAAGGTCAAATTGAATTCCTGCGATCTCATGATCAAATTTTAACAAATAAGTAGTTGCTTCTGTTGGATAAACAAAGAAAGTAGTTTCTTGAGGTACAATCTACTCCTAATAAAAATATAGTGAACACTGTTGAAATGACAACAATGTTGAAATGACAACAAAAAATTTAGAATATTCCATAAACTTAGTTGATAAAGCCACAGTAGGGATTTCAGAAGATTGACTCCAATTCTGAAAGAAATTCTAGTGTAGGTAAAATGCTATCAAAAAGCCTTGCATGCTACAGAGAAATCTTTTGTGAAAGGAAAAGTCAATCAATGCAGTGAATTTCATTGTTGTATTATTTTTAGAAATTGCCACGGCCACTCCAACCTTCAGCAACCACCTCCTTGATCAGGCAGCAGCCATCAACATTGAGACAGGACCCTATCAGCAAAAAGATTATGACTGGCTGAAGGCTCTGATGATCATTAGCATTTTTTAGCAATATTTTGTAAATTAAGTTACATACATAGGGTATTTTTAGATATAATGTTATTTCACATTTAATAGACTACAGTATAAACATTCTATATAAAATTCTATAAAACATAAATTTTTATATGTACTGGCAAACCAAAAAATTTGTGACTTGCTTTATTGTGATATTCACTTTATTGCAGTAAGTCTGGAACCAAATCCACAAAAACTCCGATTTATAACTGTACTTAAGAAGTGCCAAAAATAAGTATGCACAAGAAACAATTGAAAAACTCCAAGGAAAAGAAGATACGAGAATCTAAGTTAATGTTAAATAATAGAGGCACTTACCTTTATATCTCACTTTATATGTTATCAATAATTTCTAACAGTAGACAAAGTTTTTAAAAATTCAAGTATTCCTTGGATACAATTTATTGTATCCAAGCACTGGTATGACTAATAACATAATGAATCATCTAAAAATCATTCATACAGATACTCATATTTATGCAAAGTTTCTTTCCTGGTTTGGGAAAGT